TGTTGGCCCTGCGACAGACTGGCGACCTGTCCAGGGTGTACCCCGCCTCTCGCCCTATGACAGCTGGGATAGGCTCCAGCGCCCCCCGCGACCCTGAAAAGGATAAGCGGAAATGAATGAATGGATGGATGGATGGATGGACGTTCAACATGGGATGTGACATAAATATAAATGATCTAATGTACACTCACCATACACTTTGTTAGGTACACCTGTTCAACTGCTTGTTAGTGCAAATATCTAATCAGCCAATCACATGGCAGTTACTCAGTACATGCAGGCTCTGAAGTTCAAACCTAGAATTAGAATGGTGAAAAAAAGTTTAAGTGATTTTGAAGATTGTCCCACCACAGGGATTGTCCCACCCAGCCATCACTAGAGTTTACAGAGAATGGTCTGAAAAAGAAAACATATCCAGTGAACGCCCTCCACAGCCGACAAATCATGTCATTATGGACCAAAATGTCCTGAGGAATGTTTCCAGCACTTGGTTGAAGAATTAAGGCAGCTCTAAAGGAGAAAACGGATCCAACCCAGTACTAGCAAGGTGTACCTAATAAAGTGTCCAGTGAGTACCAGCCATGTAAATAGTGCATAGAGTTAGATATGAAGCAACGGAGCTTGTTTCAAAGTAAAGAAGTGAGTTATGGGAACCATTATGGGATAAATGACTCCAGCTAAACTGTCCGGTCCTTTCAGATGTTTTGATTATTGTTGAGATCATCTGAAGGTAACCTAAAACTTCTTCATAGGTGACCATGGCGTCTTGTCCGGCCTTGGATGCCTGGCATGGAGCACGAGGCTGGGCGTTGGAGCACCCTCCTGGAGCAGGGTCGGAGGGATGGATCAGCAGACAGGACTACGAGGAGAAAGGAGGCGAGTATCTGAGCGAGCACTGCGCCTCCAACGCTTTCGTTCCCATGAAGATCGCTAAACCCGCTCGCCCTGCTGAGCCACCCGTTACAATGCAAGCATCAACAGAAGCTTCTGCTGCCATCACCATGGTTACGTCAGATCCGACCCCCTCCTTCTCCTCTACTAGTGCTGTTGCTGATGTTACCATGGTTACCACGTGAAGCAAGGCTCTCTGATATCCTTCCCCCGACGTGTCCGAAGTTCAGGAATAATTTCAGGATGAAGTGAAGGGTTTCACTTTGTCCTCTTTCGTTCAGCTCGACTCGGATCGTGCTTTTTCAACAACCGTCAGAAAGCTGCTGTCAGTCCTGCTGAACGCTTTGGTCTTTGAATTCCAGGCGCTGGGAAAAAAAAAATAAAATGAGCTTGAGAGAGACGGGAAATGCATAACTGTAACTGAATCAGGAGTATTGTACACTGCTGTTCTTGGTGAAATCACAAGAGTTCATATTGAACAGGCGTCAAATGAATGTTGTTAAAGGCCAAGAGTATTTTTTGTATTATTGTGTAAATATAATTTTATTTTGTATGTCTGTGTTTTTAAAAAACAAAACATAAACATTTCCTCTCTTGGAGACCGTTGTCTGTCTTTTGATTGTCAAAGAAATCTGATATTTTGCGTCTTCTGTCCCTTCTTCTTCTCTCCTTTCTTTTCCTGTTTTCTAGTTAAATGTTCAGTTTACTGAATGCTCACACACATTCCCTCAAACACCTCTAGTGCTATTTATACATGCAGCTAGTCTTAGTTTCTTTTCCCTAACTTTAGTGAAAACATTCTTTCATGCCAGCTTTAATTCTTTGTCCTGTAGGTTTTTATCAGAGGAATCCTTTTTGAGCTCTAAGTCACAGATTACAGAAAATCTGACCAGTAATTTGACCCGGGAACATGTAATTACTGTTGTGGGTGTTAAAGTGATTAGAGAGCATGAGACCACATAACATTTTTATTTTGAACTAATGCCCTCAGGATGACTTCACAGGGCGCCTTTAGGTAGGCAAAGGGTGTATAAGGGATCATTTGTGCCAAAAGCAATTAGCATACTGAGTTATAAGACTCTGTGATGTATTTGTACTGAAGTTTTATGTATGCATTTGTGTGACTGTGGCTGAGTGCTGCCAGTATTTTTTTATGAATTGATTTATGACTTGGTGACTCGCACACAATTTTCCGCTAACGTGGAGAATAAAGTTATTCTGTTCTAAATGCCACCAGAACAATGTAATAAAATATTTTCGGGTAAAAGTACATGGGCTCTTTAAATGTAAAATAAATAAATAAAATTGTGTGCTGCAGTATATTGTTCTACCACTAGATGGCACAAACGAACACAAAATCTTACTCTGGCTTCACTATTATTCAGTTACAAGCAGTATTTAGTGTTTTGTACTAATAGTTTATGTAAGCCAACTTATCAGCCAGACTGAAGGAGACACATTCTTACCACAGATTTCCTTTAATACTAAAACTGATTGGACTTTATTCTCATGGAGTCGTTGGTGAATCTGGTCTGCTGTTGACACAGTATACATCTATACCTCCACACTCATCTGAAAATTTTGAATCTTGTCTGACACACCGTGAGTTCCCTTTGGGGGTGTGTACATTGCATTGTTTCTCAGTCCACTGAAGTCTAATAGCATCATGTGGCGTTAAACTGTGCTCAAGGTTCAGAACATTCTGCTTTTCCCAAAACAACTGTGTGGCGACCCCACTCATAAAATAGCCCCCGGTTTCCACAGCAGGGCTGAACTTGGCTAATCAGAGCCAACACAGGCCAGTGACTGCAGGTTAATTGGCTCAAATGTAACTAGAGGGATTAAAGGGCAAAAACAAGGCAATCTTTTATGTGTGAAAGCTAGTAACCAGGATTTATTTCTATGGCTACGCTGCAGTCCAGCCAGGCTTTCCTAATGATTTTGAGGGGAAAAAACCCAGCAGATGTCCTCTACCTTCTCCTTACCATTCAGTGCACAGCATTCACAGCAGGTGAATAATGTCTGACTAAGTTGAGATTCTAAAAAATGCAAAAAACTCTTTAATCCTAACAGTTTTCTGAGGTCAGGATCTGCAGTGGCCTTATTCTTCTCGCTGCTGTGATGCAGTTATTGTACACCCTACACACAGCTGTGATGCACAAGTCAAGCACTGCTGCTGATACTGTAGGTACACCATGCAGATCTTATGTATTCTTAAACAAGCCTGCTCTGTCTTGCGCCCTGTTTGTGCCACCAGGTTGGCCAGTGTCCAATTAGGAGGATTTATTTGTGAGCTCCAGCGTTGTAGGTCAGCAGGAACGCCAGGCAGCTCAGAGCACATGTCACAGTCCTGTTGTAAAGGGGAGGAAAAAATAATGACCTGGAGTTGGAGCTGTGACAGATGCAAAAAAGGGTATTATTTTTCTTAATGGCTGGCCAATATGTTATTGCTTCAGTGTAAAACTTGTTGTATTGCAAACAGATCCTCAGTGAAATTATCCACTTCCCTGCCAATTCAAAGTTCAAAGAGGTCTTCATGGTTGCGATATATGTAATAGCCTGTCAGCAGAGTGTCTTGTTGGCATAGTTACGGATGATGTAAATCGGGTAACAGTGAGTCTGGGATGCTTTCTTGCAGACAGCTCCTCCATCTCTCCTCATGCCTTCTCTCTCGTCAGTCATGGCGTTTTTTTAAAAAACTGTAAACACACATGCAAACATGAAGGTGACTCCACCTTTAAACCTGCTGATTTAGAGACACTTAATGACTGAAATCATTAAATGAATCTAAAAATATGGGATCTGATGGATTATTGTAAATAGAAGTTTCACATAATCATTACATGTTCATGTACTTCTTTATCATTTTAAAGTCCAACTACATTTAAATAGGGCTTGTTTTTTTTGCCTGCAAATGTCACTTCAGTATCTCATCCCCTTCCCAGAGCTCACCGTGCCAGCTGCTGTCAGTCTGACTCTGACATGCTGCTCCAGTGGCTGTCTTAAATAAGACAGCCCCTCCATTAATGCAAGCTCCTATAAGCACCCACAGTTACGGTTTACAATTAAAATATACTTTGGTTTTCTGCAGAAACCTTTTAAAATTCAGTTAACATTGCAAAAGGTGATTTAAATGAGCCTAAAAGGGGGAAAAAAAGGTGATATGATGGTTCCAACATGATGATCTAACCCTGGTTTTCTGGCTGATAGTTTAGAGGCTTCCCGCAGATGCTTGATTAGATGTCACCTGGCAGTTTGGAGACAAAGTCTACAACCTGATTTTTGCCGTGTTCCTTGATCCTTTCTTGAGCACTTCCTGCAGTGTAACAGGATTCCCTAGTGGATCCCCGTCTGCTTGATCTGCAAGTTTAGATGGTGTGTGTCAAAAGTATAAATGCAAAGACTCAAGGTTTCCCTGCAGACGATTGCACTATAAGAAAGTGACCTGTCTGCGCTTATAATCTGTGGGTATGACTCATATTTTTGCTAAATAAACATTTGATGTGGTCAATCAAAGTAAAAACACATTAACATCATGAATTTAAATCCATTACTCCATTAAAAATTCTATCACGTACCACTGTCTTGAGTTTCCTGACTCCCAGAACGGGACTTTAATGATTCATCTTCAACGGACATGTTGGCTGCCGTCCAACCAGAGAAGCTTTATGTAGATGCTATACAATAACATCAACATTTGGAGCTGACTGACCCTGACACAGCTGGTATTTCCTGCACTGACAGAGAACATGGACAGTCTGTGAGTAGATCAAATTACTGTAAGGATAGTGTACTCAAAATCATTTGGAGTATTTATGCACAAGAACAGAGGCTATTGCAAGCTTATATTCATACTATTGACAAAGGAGCCATATAGTAACCGACTTCAAAAGCACAAATAAGTAACCTTTAAAGAAGATTCCAGCTGTTTAAGCCACTGCCCGTGAATATGTTATTCAAGGAACTGTGTGATGCAAAAGTAGAATTTTTATCTACTTAAAAATCTTAAAGGCTTTTTTTGTTTGAAAATACTATATATTTTTCACAGAGGAAAGTTGGCTGTGCTGCAGGAGCACTTTGAGAAGTTTGTGGATGTTTTAAAACAGTTTTTTGCTCAGTGAAAACCTGTCACTTTTTTCACACCTTTGTAAGTGACTTGAACTGAACTACAAACTTTCCAGAGTCGCCTTTGAAGGCAAAAGTAGGCTATGCTTTTATACTAAAAAAGGTATTTGGAATCTGTCTCCTCATCAGCTGTAAAACGCTCGCTGGGTATATACTGATTATCGTTGTCATTTGCCTCTCTGACTGCGCAGTCTTGAAGGGAAATATAAACACAGACATAAAAGCTTTATCTCAGTGCGAACACGTAATCTCACATGGATCAGAAAAGAGGTCAGAGACACACTTTTATCCCCTCGGGGCTGTACCCTGCATCCTCGGGGTGTGGACGGCCATAAAACTAGTTCCAGCTGATCCCTATAGCTGTTTATCTTTAAGAAACAGAAATGACAGTTACGGCTATACGTCAGCAACACTCAGCACTTTTACATCAGACAAGCACAACATGTCACAGAGTCACAAATGAAGTGTGAAAACAAAAATACTGTGAGCCTCACTACTGAAGCAGTTTTTATCAGTTTTGAATGTTTGCTCATCTGCAGCCATTATCTTATTTTAACACAATGCCAAAGAGGAAAGGAGTCAACAACAATGTTTAAAAAGCAACTGTTGCTCATCAATCAGGAAAGGGTTTTAAGTCAATTTCCAGACAGTGGGAAGTCCGTCATTCTACAGTGAGAATGCTCAGCATATTCTCCCCAAGGTCAGGCTGTTCAACCCCTAACCAAAACCAACCAACCAATCAACCAACCATCCAACCAACCAATCCAACCGATCAACTAACCGAAACCAACCAACCAACCAACCAACCAACCAACCAATACCAAACCAAACCCAACCAAACCAAACCAAACCAAACCAAACCAAACCAAACCAAACCAAACCAAACCAAACCAAACCCAGCCAATCAATCAATCAATCAATCAATCAATCAATCAATCAATCAATCAATCAATCAATCAATCAATCAATCAGACAGACCCAAGAGGTACATCTCTGACTCTACAGGGCTCAGTTTGCATTTTAAATATTAAAGTTTGTGACAGCATAATTAGAAAAACACTGAATAAGTGTGGTTTGCTTGGAAGGGTTGTCAGGAGAAAGTCTCTACTCTCCAAACCGACTTCTGGAACAATGTCTTAATAATAAACAGCACCATTTTTGTCAAAAACCAAATAACATGTCAGCACAAATCCCTCATATCGACAGCCAAGCATGGTGGGGTGATGATTTAGGCTTGTTTTGCAGCCACTGAATCTTGGGCACCTTGCAGTCATTGAGATGACGTCTGTATACAATATATATATATTGTATATAATATATAAGTATTGTACAGTCAGATGTGAGGCTATCTGTCCAACAGCTAAAGCTAAAGAAACAATAAAGGTGCTGCAATGATCCAGTCAAAGTCCAGACCTCAACATGACTGAAATACTGTACCGGGACCTTAAGAGAGATGTGTATAAAAGAATGTATGCCTAAATATCATAAAAGAAGACATGTTACTAGAATAATGAGGATATATTTAAAAAACCCAACACAGTCATATTTCTCATTTTTAACCCCCTTTTAGCATTTACAATTTAAAACCCCAAACCTAATTTAGATGCTTTCATCATTATAAAGCTGTTGTTGGAGAGTTTTTCAGATATTAGCCATCTGGCTTCTCCTAATTATAACTCAACTAAAAGAGATTTGCATTGCGATACTCAAAACACCAAAAAAAGTACATTTGATAAACTCTCTTCCAAACCTTGATGTGAGCAGATTTATACAGGTTCATTTGTTTTATACAGTCCAAATCAACCAGCTGGAGAACTGTGCTGGACACTAAAACCATTGAAGTTTTTTCAAAAATTATTTATTCATAATTAATTTATATTCTACAGTTTTTTGTTTGTTAACCACTTAACTTTTGCCCCCGAAAGAAAGACAAGTCCACAGAGTGTGGAAAGATCGATGTTTCCACAACATCAGCAGCACAGGCACTGAACGCACAGTCTCTTTGAGAGTAGTTCCAGGCACTCATTTGCAATTTGCAAAAGGTCTGTCTGACTACCACACACACACACACACACACACACACTCACTATACTTTGACAGGAGGGACCATGGCCCTGTCTCACTCTGGGATTCATTACCTTTTGCAGGCACCTTGTCTGAGGCCGATGAAGTCATTATAATGAATCTCTGCTGTTATG